GTTGATTGTGGGCCAAGTCAGTCCGCCAAGCTCATCTCGAGGAATCCTCTTTGTAAATAAACTTACCACAACCATTGTGAACACACTTATGGCAAACAGGATATTCGCTGTAAGGAAAGGTATAAAAACATCACTCCTACTTAGGTTAAAACAGCGCCTCACTCCCAACATGTTGTGTCTTCTGGGATCGATTGGAAGAATACGCGTTAGTAACTAACTCTTGTACATATAAGCGATCCCAGGAATCGTTGCGCCGAAACATGTCCCTATTGTCCTTGTAGTTTATGTAGTGGGGGAATGGAGGACACTAGTTTACATCCCCTTCTGAAGATGGGACAGCCATTTCTTCGTGATTGTGGCAAAGGCGATAACATTTGTACTCTGTTATTGTGACACCCTGGATAAAGGGTCGAGAAGCGAGCCTATAACGACAAACGCTCTACCAACCGAGTTATCCCGGTGGTTATTGCTGGGCGCATCTGATGTGTAGCCCATAAAGACACCTCTTCGTTGTAGGTCTTTGAGGCGGAAACGATCAGCATTAAATTTTGCGGGAATTGAAGGAGAGAGCAATTGTGATGGACAAATGCAATCTTCCTAGGGATGGAATGTCCTCAGTCCTTCATGAGTTTCATCTGCATTTTATATGGGAATTTATTCCGACCAGCAAAATTCTAGTATCCAGGCAAACGTTAGTCGCGTCATCATGTACTACTCCACCGCGATGTTGGAGGCCCGTGTGACGATGTAGAGTCTAGAAAACTTTAGACGTAACCATGCGTGCTTCTGGGCGTTTGTTTGTTTGCTTTGGAGGTACGAATTAATTTGTAGTCTTTTTCCTTCATATCTACACGTCATTTTTTCCACATTCCCACAGTATCTGAATGATATAATGCCTTGCATATTTTTATCATTTGACTGCAAACATAAGGTACTTACAGTAATACATAAAATGTAGCTTAGCAAATTGCGGACGGGTGTCCTCCTCGCCACAGTCGGGCGGTGCGTATACATTTTCAACAATGAACTTTATAAGTCCCATGGCAAACCCAACCAGAAGTCCAGTGAAAGCTGCATTTTCCGTGAGTCCAGTCCAGAGTATTCCCAACAGGAACATGGAACTGATCGCGGGCGCAAAATATGATTGGATATTCTGGAGATATACAAACAGCTGGTTTCCAGCAAAACCTGTTAAACAAGATTAAATACGGTGGGCAATTTTTTTTTTCACGACTACTCTGTAATACTCGAGCTAGTGCCCCTGTCGAAAGATAAAGGTTTCTGTTTCTGCAAAAAACAAACAACAACTACGACAAATGAGGGGAAAAGAAATGGAAGACATCCATTTTGTAGACTACTGCCGATCCAGAAAACCCCTATTACAATCCTACGAGTACAAGATGGCGTACGACTACGAGTTTAAACAAAGTTCGCATATTCTAAACAATCACTTGTAACAGTAGTCGTGTCTTTTTGGTCGGTTTATGTGCAAGTCATCAGCTGGAAAGAGAGAGATTTCTGGGGACATAACTAGCCTGGCCAGGGTAGGGTAATATATACACAAACTCACCTTTGACAATCGGTAACCAGCACAAACTGACGCCAACAAGAGCAGCCACGACCACTCGACCCACTATGATCTTTTCTCTATCCCTGGCCTATTTGGGAAAAGAATGATTGAGTATCATGAAAGAGTGAGCCCAGTGCAAGAATAAACAACGCGGATATCTCAGTTGTCGGATTGTTCCAAGTTAATTGGTACTCCTCTATTTATATTCAATGTCAATGTCACGAGATCGGTGGCCTGCAGACGTACCTAAGACGTTTAAGAAGTAATGAACCAATAATGTAGCCTGCGAGCAAGCTCTCCGGGGCGATCTGGCGGCGAGGCGGGAAAATGAAGGAGAGCTTGCAACTACATCTCTGGAACTGAATATCTGCGTAGCAAAATTCGATGCGAAATCCTGATTGGCGGAGATGACATAAGCAACGAAGTCATTACCCTTGGCACTTGCTTTTCAATGTTTGTTTACATTCGCGCTGAAATCTGACAGCTCAGTCGACGGGTAGCCAAAGGGAATTGGAGGTGGAATTCAAATTCCAGAGACGCAGTTGCAATCTCTCCTTCCTTTTCCCGCCCCGCCGTCAGAGCGCCCCGAGGAGCTCGCTCGCAAGCTACCAATAATGAGCCATTTTGGACACGAAGATGATGAGATTTCAATTAATCATCAGAGATCTCAAATAGCAAGATATAGACTATTTTGAAATTCCCTTTTTTTTTTTTGTTTTCATTTTTACTGTTTTCCTCTAATGTTCACGGTGTACCTTTAGCGCATCTTCCTTCACGGGCGCTTCGAGACTCGCACCAGACGAGGCGAAGACTGGAAACAAGCAAAGCGAGAGACATCGGAAAACAAAGGCGGGTAAAGAGACGTCCCGCTTTCCCCGTCCCGCAATCCTTTGCGCAAACGAGAGAGAGGTGTGAATAAAAGGGAGCCTTCAGTTGGCCTTTTGACACAATAAAAAGATCTTTATGTTAACCCCTCCAGAAACTATAAGGGGAATGGGTACAAACCTTAAGCGAAACGATTTCTGGGGTAATTTTAGTGGACAAGCGTTAGTTATGATTGGTTGTCGGTTGCCTTGAAAACCGTCGACCAATCATAACAAAAGCTTTTCCAACCAATTTATCCCAGAAATCGTTGCGCCGAAAACTTCTACCAATTCCCCTTATAGTTTCTGGGGTGGTTAACTACCTGTGGTCTGAGCCTCAGCCATACATCAACAGTGAAGATGGTAGCGCTGCTGTTAAATGCTGAGGAAAGGGATGACATGACGGCAGCCATCATTACTGCTAACATTAGTCCAACCATTCCAGTGGGAAGAATGTTCAACACCAACCTACCCGGCAAAAACCATATCAGTGTTTGAACCCAATCCAATCCACTTTTTAAAAGTCATGGCTGGGCACCTTCTTATTATATGGGGACATGCCACTATAAATTTGACCGCCCTGTCTCAAACGCGTCTAACGTTTCCTAAAGAAACAGAAGGGCGTGCATTTTGTCTACTGTCGTGAACAGGGGTTCTAAAACAGAGGTTACTGTCCAATACGAGGTGGATATTTCAGATTTCTCTCGTCTTCTAAATAGGCTCAGGTTTGAAAATCTCAGCGCGGCAACCGTACACTCAAACTGATGGGTCAGGTTCCCCCGGTCTATTTAATGCGGTGCTCTTAGCTATTCCAAGTAGTCTTCCCCTCTATTGTCCCGACACGCGATGTTGTCCACATTTTTAGCAAGCAGCGTTACCCAACACACAACATGTTTAGAATGTTTCTTATCGCCTTCATCCCCAGCTGCTATCAAGAGCGAGTTTGCAGCTCATGGGGACGGGAATTGCCTTAGTTGACAAGCGTTGCTTAACAGATTATTCCTGTTATTACCATTACCAAAACTATTCACTGCTCAACTTACTTAGGATATGCATTGTTGGTACAGCCCCATCTGTTATCACAGGCTATTTCACAGCTCTTAGGGTCGTGACAAGCGATGCTGTTAGGAAACAACACTCGACTGATCATTCCTGGCATTACCATCACAAACATGGGAAGAATTTTCAAAAAACCTGCAAAAATGGTACCAGCTCTGGCTTGGATGTGGTTCTTGGCGCCCAAGGCTCGTTGAACAAGGACCTGAATTTGCAGATGACAGGTATGCATAGTAAAGAAGTCGTGCCCCAAAACTAAAATTTAGAAGATTCGATGGCGACAAACCAAACTTTCTTCAATTACCTAGTCCCTGTACGGCGTCTTCCCAGGCCTTCTCGGTCAACGCATTTTGGTGACGTATCCGAGACGAACGCTCGGACCACGTGATCCCAAACGCATAGGCCGCGCGGAATGATGAGGCTTAGAGACTAGGCAATTTCTTCCCCAGGTCATCGTAACCACAAATGGAGCCTCTTGGCTTTTATAGTTGTTCTACTAAGGTATGATTATTATTATATCGAGCCAGAGTTACCTGATCTGTACAAAAGTACCAAACTGCAGTAATGAATAAAGACGTCCACAATCCTAACCAGGGGTAGTCTGGATCATCAACCGGCCTCCACAGATCACCCCAGTAGGGTGTTAGTTTGTAACAACTATCAATTGTGTCGTTGCTCTTGCCCAGAGTATCTGCTACTGTTGTTGCCGCTGTTGAGCTGAGATTAGAATTTACCACAGAGGTCCCAGTTGTAGGGATGTTTGTCGAAGAGGGTGTCGACCACAGGGGCTTACCCATCGAGGAGCCGAATTTACTCCACAGACCATCCAATCCTCCAACTTTTGCAAAACCTTAAGGTAGAAATAAATCAACTTAATCACCATTGTAATGATTGTTCGGATTAACATCCGGCAACTTTATTTACGTCAACAATTCAAAGTGGAGTTCGTGATAGCTAGTTTAGCTGAAAACTCTCCATTTACCATGTCTCTTTTAGGATATAATTGTCTTGTTTTTATCCAACCAAGATTCGCTAAAAATACCCCCTTGAGAGAATAAGAAAGCTTGCAAATCATTTTTATACGGAGAAAAAGTAACGTAAAATTACGGAAATAAGCCCCTCCAAATATAAGCCCCCCAAACTCGTAACGCAAAAAAACCTCCGTTAAATCGCCCCTCCAAGTATAAGCCCCGCGGGGGCGTGTACTCGGAAATTGCCTTCAAATACAAAGTAAAACAAGGCAAAAACGGTAAATTTCCTTCCATTTATAAGGCTAGCCCAATCGATTTTGAAACGCAAATTTCCCTCCGTAGATAAGCCCCTCCAAAAATAAGCCCCTCAAAAAGGGCCTTTGAAAAACATAAGCCCCGGGGCTTATTTTCGGAATTTTAAGGTATCAAAATCAAATAGAATTCGTACAAACACTATGGGCACCCTACTTACTCATTATGGCTACAACGATGCCACCGATAACCATAATAGTACACTGCAATACATCAGTGAAGAAAACGGCCGTCAGACCACCTACAAAAAAGTGCTTGAGTTATTTACAAGCTTGGGACGTTTTAAGGAGTACGCAGTGTCCCTGTCGGTATTTATCCCTTCTTTATATCCTTTGCTGCCATTTCATCTAGGCTTATTTCGCTGTTTCAAGGCCATGTCGCTTGTCAGAATTTTACCCTAACAGGGGCGCGAAACTGCGAGGGCCTACCTTCCCCAGGGACAGGAAAAACTGTCCGTAATAACGAGATGTCCGTATTAAGCGGGTGTCCGTAAAGCAGGGTTCGACTGTATTTGTGAAGTACAAATGAAGTACAAATGAATCACTCGACGATAAAGAACAGATGAAGTACAGGGAAAGTACAAATGACGTTTAGAGGAAGCACGAATGAAGTACAAATGAAGTACAAATGACGTACCAGTGAAGTACAAATGAAGCACAAATGAAGTACAGAAGACGTACGAATGACGTACGAATCAATTGTAGCCAATGTCTAGATGAAGTACAGATGATAAAGAGATGAAGTACAAATGAACTAGAAAAGTACAAGTGTATAAATGTATCAATGATGTTCGATGAAACTTACCAAGAACAGTGTAAACAGCAGTGATGGCTAAAATCACAGCTGCTGACACATAAATATTCCAACCAACAGCTTCATACAGAAACACACTGCCCGCGTAGATATCAACCTGCCAGAACGGAAGCGAGATTTGTGACTTGCTCCTCTACTCTAAAGCGCCTTCTTTTCACACTAAACCGGATCTGAACTTTTAGTGCGGACATAAAAAGTTATCTGGTACATTATGAACACCTATCCGACATGTGAATCTCCACTTTAAAGATCGGCGTGGCGGAACTTCGACCCGTTTAATACTATACTTTTCGCGTCGGCATGAAAAGCTACTCAACCATTACTAAAGGCTCCTATTGATACCAGGGAGGCTTTGTAAGCTCCCTGAATGGACTAAAATGAGTAGCTACTTTTTATTTTAAATAAAGACGTCTGTCTATCTATCCGTCTATCTAAGTAAAGATCAAACTTGGCTCACTCAACGTTCTTGGTAATGTTCCGTCACCGGCAGTACTTTAATTTATTTTCAAGTATTTCCTTAGTTCGATACTTACTGATATCTTTGTGAGTACATATGATATGAGCGCCACAGCTGTCAAACAAGTCCTTATCTTGGTGCTATGAAATCGTTTTAGCAAGTATTCTGGTGTCGTGTAAATCTAATAGAAATAATCACAAGAGAAGCAAATACATACGAACACTTATAACATTATTTAGCTAGGAAGCAAGTTAGCTAGTCTGACATTCGTCAACACTCATGCCCAGGGAAAATAGGTTCCTTTGATATGACCCCACCTCTTTAACCCTTTAAACCCTCAGATCAAAATTTGAATTCTCATTTGTTGCCCCCATTCATTTCCTACAGAAGTAGTGGGGAGAAGTTGATAACATGAACAGAAAATGTTTTTCTGCCATTCACCAGTTCCCTGCTAATAGACGTCTCTTTTCCCTTGTAATTCGCTGGCAGGAAAATTCAACAGATGCAAGCCAATTAAAGTAACTCCTTTTATGTTTATATCACATTTTTCGGAAGCATTTTCAAAGAGCTTGTTAACTCACCCTTGATTTGAGGTAAATTGGCACAAAGACCCAGCCCAACAGCAGTAGGAGCCAGGGCGCCTGAAAAACAATAATCAAGCGGGATACATTCTAGGTACTTTTAAGTACGGTCAAAATACTTCTGAAATATCACGTGAGTAAAGTCACGTGACTTGCCTGCCACTCATATGATGCTACACCAATCCCTGTTGCCGCGCCAGATCCAGCCAATCCAATGAAGTGCTCACTACCAATGTTACTGACAAATAAACTCGGTCCAACCTATTGAACAATTCAATCAGGGTAATGTTTCGACTGGATTGATTGTTAAAATTCTCATTTAATATTCACTAGAGTTTGAACTACCCACGTTCCGGGAAGATCCCTTATAAGTCTTTTAAAAAAGTTGAATTTCTTTTTGTTGGTTTTATTCATTTAGAGACAGATTTCGTTTTACAAAGCAAACTAAAACATCCATAGAAAAAGGAAAACGTGCAAGAAAATGTTGGGTTATTTGTCCAAAACTTGTCCACTTAACTTAGCATTTTGGTAAAAATGGTATACTTAATGACCATTGTAGATTTTAAAACATTGTCAGTATACTGTATTAGAAGGAAATGTAAGAAGTTATTTTTTCAAAACTTTCCAAATGTGTAGCGATTGCAAACTCAAGACAACACACTCGATGCAGTCAGTGCACATCTCTATCATTACTAGTGCCCTTTCAACTGATCAGGACCGTGCTGTATTTCCTAGGGGGATTTTTGTATTTCCCAGGGGTAAATTTGATCGCAACGGCTCTACTTACCGCCCACCACATCATTGATCTGCCAGCCAAGAAGAAAGTTTCAGCGGTTTCAGTTTTCCCTCTTTGTTGTCTAAATTTAGTCTGCAAAAAAGCGACAAGCCGTATTATGAGAGTAAGAAGCTTGACTTGCTTAAATAAACATTTTTCCACCACGCAAACTGTGCTACGTATTTTGTGCAAGCGAGGTCTTTTGGCTGGGTGTCCTGGGCATTCGTTTTGCAACAACTGTTCAAGACACCCTAATACAGAAAAGTAAAGGCTCTAGACTGATATTTGGAGCATTTAGTTTGACTAGCTTCCTTCAATCATTATGGCTTTCATCCAGAAATTGACTCTTCTGCTGTTCACACCGATCAAATATCATATTCCAACCAAACGTCAATAGAGAATGAACGATAGCATTCTAAAAGATTTCAAAGACAAACTATCGCTCAAACAAATCACATCATTTGGCCCCTACAATACAGCAAGGGTAGTACTCTTTGATTTATTCGCTTCACAGTGTTTCAAAACCAAGATTCTTAGGTCCTCAGGCCTAAATTCAACACATACACTACAACAAAAACTTGAAAATACAGAGAAAATTTGCCTTGAACTGGCTTTACAAATAAAAGAAACACTACACATACCCATAGCCCAACTAGAATGCAAGCAAAGAAATAAAATGCGATGATAACCCAGTCTGCAGCCTTCAGTGGCTTTCTATCCTCGGTGTAAACCATGGCAGTTCGTACAGTAAGTCTCGCAGTTCTGTTACACTCAGACGAGAGTCAATTTGGTAAATGTCAGACACCAAATAACGATGGCAGCCAGGGTCATGGTCACTGGTTCGTAACGTCACGACACAGTCGCATCAGAAAGAGATTCTGTTGTCACGCTGGTTGGCCAAATGTTAAAATGAATCTTATCAGGAGCCTAGTATCGCCTACTGGCCCCAGTTGTTCAAAACGTGGATAACGCTATCCACCGGACAAATCACTATCCACTGGATAGCGCAATTGGTTTCCCTAACACTTATCCGTTGGATAGTGATTTATCCGGTGGATAGCGGTATCCAACTTTTGAACAACCGGGGCCTGGAAGGTAATCCAAGATAGACTTTGATTTCTGATTCCACGCCATCGATTCCGGATTCCAGGTACTTGATTGTGGAATCTTTGTCAGTGGAACTTGGACTCGGGATTTAGCGGGATTCCGGATTCCTTGAGTTGTATTCCGATTCCAAAGCACAGGATTCAGGATTCCACAAGCAAAGATTTCCTGGGAGGCGCATTCCTCAAGCAAAAATTTCCCGGATTCCGGAATCCGGTTCCGTAACCCTTTAAGCCCCAAGATCCACATACAAATTCTCCAGACTGATCTGTACCTTTTTCTTTAAAGGATAGTTGAGAGAATTTGGTTTAAGATCAAAGCGATCTCCCTTTTGGTAATCAATTTAGTAATTCTCATAACCTTTACTCTTGATGATCTGCTGATGCTGTTAGGAGAAAATTGATCTTGGTCTCTCTTAGGACCTAAAGGGTTAACAAGGGGCCGGGCAACTAGTAATAGCCCCAGAGCTAATCCCTGCCCTTAAAAATGCATTTTCCTGTTTGAAGAGGGGCAGAGGTTCTTGCTTCGCGGTTATAAATCTTGCGTTGTACCCTCAGTCTTTGCGTTTTGCGCACATTTTACGCGCTCCGCTTTGTGTGGGCATGGATAATGCCCACACAGTCTTTCTATTATCCATGGTGTGGGCAAGTCTATTTTGTGCGGGAATATTCTATACACACAAAACTAACAGATACTAGAAACATGAGCAATTACGCAGTGAATCGAAGTGAAACTCATCAGTGACGTGTGGGCTTAAAACCATTGTACCTGAAAAAAAAACCCTCGGAGCGAAACTGAAGCGGAACAAGAACTGCGCCACCCTTGATCCCCTAATCGACATAAATCGATCATAGATAAATTGGTCAGGCCATAAAATAAAACAACAACGAATTTACACATTTTTATGCACAGAATCTTACTAATTTTGTGTAATTTTTGACAAAATCTCGTGAAACATTTACCCTAAAATTATTGAAAAGCATTTAAAACTAAACCCTCTCTCCGGTCTCTCCGGTTTCTGTCAAGTCTTTATATTGACAAGCGCGTTTTTTCTCGAGGCTTCACCGCTCGTGGCTTCGGCCTTCGGCCAACACCGAAAATTCCCGCCGCACGCGTGTCGCCTTTTCTCGCGTGGGGTGATTTTCACGCGCGCTCGCGTTTCGCTCGCTCTACTATCCCTGAGGAAAAATAGGGACTACTCGTAGTCTAAACTCAAGGCGGCTGGGTACAGAAAATCTTAGGCCCGGTTCAGACGACAAACTTTTCATGAACCGAACCTAATACATTGAATTAAGTACATGAAAAGTTCGGCGTCTGAATCAGTTAGGAACGCCTGTTTCAATTTGGAACGGCTCAGCCATTCTTTTCGCCTAGCCCGGCCGGGAATTTCGCCTTTGTAGCGACTTTGGAACGGCTTTGATTCAGACGTCGAACTTTTTATGTACCAAATCTAATGCATAAATTATTATAACGTTTTTTGTAAGCAGTTTGACCGAAATGAGCATTTTTCGCCTTTTGGACTTACTTCAGCTGCAATTAAGATCGGCGTCTGAATCAATATTCAGCCGGTCTAAATGATTTGGGTTGGTCTTAATTCGAATTAGGTTCGGCTCATGAAAAGTTCGGCGTCTGAACCGGGCCTTATCATACATTCATAGAATGCTGCTTTTACCTTCAACATCATAAAGTTCAATTTTAACGTGTTTGCTCTCTTGAAATGGTGAAAATAAACCATACTAACGCAAAACCATCAACACAACACTCAGCAAACACACAAACGAATTAAGTCGAAGCCGTGCTTTTTTTTACAACAACATCAATGTATAAAACTAAAACTTTTGGCCGTTCGTTTGCTCCGTTTCTACGGAGATCTTTCCGATCCAGTCTTTATCAGTTTGTGAGACCAAAAAAACAAAATTCTCTTGCACATTGCACAGTACTGTCGCACTGCATTTTAAACTTGATCAAACCGATTAAATACTCGCTTGTTGTTGTGCCACAAAAGACCCCGCGAAAAATAGCAACAAAGAGAATTAAAGAAAATTGAAAACTTCAAAACCCTAAATATAAAGTGCAAAATAACTAAAATGCGAAATTAAAAGTCAACAAAATGTATGCCCGAACGACAACTTTTTTGACCTAACCTGTGACCTGGTCGAACATAAGTCCCTTTTAAAAAGAAAAATTACTCAGTAAACACTAAATGAAGGCCTGCATTACCAACTATAGCCAGTTCCCACCATCTACAGTCTATTTTCGTTGACTCTAAGTGCTCTCCCCAACGGAGAGACTTGACAGCATGTCGAACACTAACAAAGTTTGTTTCAGTGGATGCCCCAACATTTAAGAAAACTCGGCTTCGCCTTTTAACCCGTATCTGGATGTTTCACACCCATACTCGTTTTTGATACAATTACCACATGTTCCTGAATATAAATACACTAAACCTCTGGTGCTGGCCATGGCTTCACTGCACTTCTTTAAACCCTTCCCGAGGTGTATCCTCCATGAGAGAATAAACTAAAAATGATATGAACACAAGAAACACTAAAACTGCAAGTAAAATTTGAACGTGAGGACCACAAATACTGGCTTCTTCTTTTGCCACCTTAGCTGGCTCCTTTACTGCGATAACTTCAGCCGAATCAGTTTGCTCGGGGCCGTTAAATGCTGCGTAATCACCATTGTTGTTATGTCGTCTATGCTGCCGTGTGGTAATTGTACTCGTTGTGATTCTTTTCCTCGGAGTGGATTTGTAGGCAGGAGATGGTAACTCAGGGGGAGGTGGAGAGTCTCTATGGTCTGCAATGCAAGCAATTCAAATAAGAAAAAGCAGCCACTATATAATAATAGAGTCAAGCTCCTCCCCACCCCCCTCCCCACCCAGTGGACAATGAATCAATGTTGGCAATATTGCAAGATGCAGAAGTGCATTGAAAAGGGAGTCATTTACAAATTCTCATTTTTATTAGGTGAATGCCACACAGGCTTTTAGCCAGACATTGAAAACTGGCCGTCCAGAGGGCCTGCTTTCCCATAAAATTTCAAGAGATTAAGTGAATTTTCCTTGCATTTCTTCCAAAAACGGGCGTGCATAGGATGGCTGGACACCCCTCTGGCTAAAACCTTGACACCATACCCGCGATGCTTCAAGGGAAAGACATTCTTCGGAAAATTACCGTCTGTTTTCGTCAATCATTGGGATATCGTCGTAATTTCCATCATAAGTATGTCGACAGAAGAAGAGGCAGAGGACAGGAATTTTACTCTCCCCTCGCTAACATGGGCCTCTTTTTGTCCATGGGGGCTGGGGAGAGGGAAAAATGAAAGCATGCAGGGAAGGATGCAATTTTTTTGGAAGACTCAGTGGGAACCTCTTCGGAGGAGAGATGGAATTTTAAAATTTTGCCCACCTACAGCAAGTTTGATAAACAACTGCTAAACCTAAAGCACATACTGTTCGGTTAAAAAGGCTGATGAAACATGGAGGAAAAATTGCTCTATCAGTGATCAGCAATGCTATGTACCTTGCTGTTCATGATTGTAAGTCAGACGTTCAGCAATTTCCACATCCAACTCCTCTGCTGAGGCATCATCAGCATCATACCCATCAGAGAAATCTGCATGCTCCATTCTCCTCTGGGGTTTGGGTGGCGAGGTCTTCTTCTGTTTGGGTGAAAATTTACTGGCAGGAGCTTCTAGTTCCTCGGTCAGAAACTTAGCTGCAAGGAGAAAAATAGAAACTAGGCACTTTTTTCTTGGACAGACGAGAGAAACGCACGCAAGAGAAAACAGCCATGCAAGCGACTGGTAGCACGAAACGGGAGAGGCCTGAATTAAGAAAGACTTTTATCATTCCTTTTCAGGCTGACGTTATAATTATTATTGGATGAGGTTTTCTTAATAACTGAAAATGCCAAACGTAACCTACAGATAAGTCAGTAAGCTGCTAGCAGATAACTACCGGTGACCTATTGGTCGGTTAAGCTGATTTTCAAAATTAACTGTAGGTAGGAAATTTGAAGTGCAACGTATAATAACTCTATCAACTGGACACTGGAGCAAATCAGGGGTCAGCAGTCAGGTAGTATGAGGGTCGTGAGTTAAGGAACACAATATTTAGTTAACCTAGATGTGCTACTCTCTTTTTCAGGAATATATCAATAACTTAGAGAATGTATATGTTATTATGTGTTAAGTAGAGACATAGAAAATTATACAATACACAAGAGAGAGTCCCCCCAGCATCCAATAAATAAATGTTTGACTGTAGCACAGCATAAATTATGTCAAGCTCAGACAAATATACACCAGACAGGATAAGAATCCAACAGTAAGAATGGAAAAACTCTGTCTGACAGTGCGCTTGCCTGTCTGCAGGCCTAAGGGTCTCAAAGAATAGTGCAAACTAAGATCAGACTAAACATTCCATTACAGTGCAAATTATAAAATATTACTAACAACAGCGTATTTTTGCAGGTGCCATCCACAAGGAATGTGTACTTGTATAATGTTGACAAGACGATGTCACACTCAAAGCAAGAAGAGCATCATTTTTGCCTATAGATGTCACTTCTTTTGGACAGAAAACAAAAAGAATTTTATATTTCATGTTTTTTTTTTTGTTTTTGTTTTTTTTTTGGGGGGGGGGTGGGGGGGGCATAGGAGTGTGAATATGGGTTGAAAGGCCACCAAAAAAAAACCACAAAAAACAAAAAACATATAAATCAATTAAAAGTCGGTAATACAAGTATAAATGTTAGCTTTTTATTTGTTTAGATTATTTTTTTTTTTTTATATGAGTTTATTTTTTTTTTTTTTTTTTTTGTTTTTTTTTTTTTTTGTTGTGTTGGGGGGGGGGGGGGGGGGGGAGGGGAATAGAAGGCTGAATATGGATTGAAAGGACACCAAAAGTAAACCCCAAAAAACAAAGAACACAGTGTTCCCAAAAATTTCTGTCAAAGAATTTCATTTGAATGTATAAGCCAAAAGAGTTAATCAACGGACTCAAAAGTTAGAACTGAATGGAGAGCAGCTCAACTTATTAGACCCAGGTAGAGAGGTCTGTTTCTCGAAAAACCCAGTAATTAACCCAACAGAAAGCTGCTGTGTTTGCATTCAAGGTCAAGGGTTCCACAGTTTTGCAGATAATGTGATCACACTATCAGTTAACAAAACAAAATGAACTGGTTTGTAAGCTAGGATCAATGTTTTTATTGTTTTGAGTTTGATTTGATATTTTGCTTTAGTTACCCAGACTACTGAGAAACGAGCCCAAAGATATATCAGTTTTTTTCACACAAAATCCTTAATGTAAGGACCTCAATATCAGGGGCTCAACTGTGATAAAAAAAGGGGAAGGAATATATTTCACATACATGTAAAAGAAAAGCTAGGCCACAGACTTACCAAGCTTCTTCTGATAAAGGACTCGAGTGGAATCTGTAATTGGGCCAATTGTGGCTCCAAAGGATTTAAGCTGCCTGGCAAGATCTCCATCTGACAGAGCAGACACATCATAGGGAAGTCCACCTTTTACCCTTTTGTTTAAGACTATCTTTTTTGCTGGCTTAGCAGGAAGTTTCTGAAAGTGAGATTACATGAACAATTTGGATAAGAGAAAAAAACAGAGATATAACTACTGAGACACGCACATTTAACCCTTTAAGTCCCAATGGTGATCAACATCAATTTTCTCACAACAATATCCACACATTGTCAAGAAGTAAGGTTATGAGAATTAATAAAATAATCACCAAAGAAAAATGCCTTGATCTTTCATTGAACTCTCTTAACTAATTCTTAAAGGAGATGTATGGAGATCAGTTTGGAGAACTTGTATGTTTATATTGGGGCTGAAAGGGTTAAAAAGGAAGAGAAATTGAGAAACTCTAACTTTAATGTGCACTAAAGTATGGTATTGTCAGTCATTTTGACACTAGATACTGATTATCCATCTCAGATGGGTTATCAATCAGATAAACTGAATCAAAAAGATAATCCATCTTAATCTGAGAATAGGATTGTCTTCATTGGCCTCCTTTATCTGTTTATTTATAGGTCTAATAAGAAGGATATCTGTCTCAAACAGATAATTCCTCTCTATTACGAAAACACCCATCCTTAGGAAATCAGTTCTCCTCAGACTGGGAAAAACTCAATTTTTCATGTTTCAAGTTTTAAGTCTCAGGTTTACGGTTTATATATAACAATGTAAACTGATTCCCAAGCACTGAGCTGACTAGAGTTAACATCAAAATTGGACAATAATAACAAAAGAAGGGCCACCTTAAAAAACGACTTGTGGTCGTGCATCACCTTGTTATAACTGCATTTTGGAAAAGCAACATTCAAAAGAAGTCACTGAAATATCTCAATAACCACCTTTTGGCCTTTTTTGAGGAACAATATTTCTGCTATCAATTTTTAGATTTGGTTTGGGATTGTTTACTTTAATTTCATTGTTCACAGTTAAGCAAACCTAGTTCACACTGATAGTGGTGATATAATACACTTCACGTAATAATAACCGTTTTTTTCAAATTTTAACACAGAACTTTGTTAAAGAACCGGCAGATATGATTAAGGTTTTGAAAAATTCGCTCAAATACTTGAGAGAAAAAAACCCTAAATAAACAGCGAAATATATACATACTTTTAATTCTCAATTTAAAAAATTTCGTGTTTCTGCTAAAATTGTGTCATGTATGGTAATTAATATTTACATTACAGCAATGCAAAGTGGTTCAAAGAATCCATTTAGCGACAACGGATAGTAATTTCATAATAAAGGAACTAAGGAAATAGTATAAATTTATACCAAAACTTCCAACTCACCTGGTCTGGCATTTTCAAATCAAGAAATGCTTCAGCTTTAAATAGAAATACTATGATAACCAAACGATGCTATCTCCTAATAGCTTGAGTCCCTAAGGTGAGCCATTTAGAGCTGAATAAAATATTATTCAAACATCACCATACAACGTACGGAAGTCATTTAAAGGTGATCAAAAGTACTCCAAAAAATGACACCGCTGCAAGAATTATCGATAGCGCAAAGAAACGCTAAAAATTATCTCGTATGAAAGGACATCCTCAAAGAATATACGAATCCCCGTACAAAAACAAACAAAGCTGCACCTGCTAAAAATGTTCATGACAACAAATCACAGCAACTTTCAAATTGCGAGTTTAAAAACCGCCAAAACCACAGACGCCTAGCGCCGCACAGGTACAATACAAGAATACAGACCCAGAAATACACAAGTCAACGTAAAGAGCTTAAATATTTAATATTGCTGCAGAATTAATTAATGGATTTTGTTTATATTACGTACCTTATGGGCTCCGATCGGAGAAGATTCCGATGTTCCTTCAGACTCATCCGAGGAATATTCGTCATCATTTTGAGAGGTCAATCTCTGCAAATACAGCTCGACGTAGAAAGCCTTTTTCTGCTCGGTTTTCGGTAGTGGGATTCCATTGGCTTTTAGAGCACTTTTTAATTTTTCTTTTGTCAGCAGATGTGGATTGCTTGAGAAAGATGACATTTCAAAAAACTACCAGAAAGTTCATCGATACTTTGTTTTTACCCAAACGGAAACGAAAGTAATTTTGTGAAATCGCGCCACTAGGAATTCCACGTATGCGCATACGCCATGCTACAAGCCGCTGATATCGCGTGCTCGTATGATGGCAAGATGGCGGACTAGTTGCTGAAATTTTGGTAAAGTAAAGTTTACGAAACATGGCCCTTCGTCCCGCAAAATGTGATGAAAAATCAGTAGTAATTTCTAGATTATCAGGTAGGCATTTCGATCCACTCTTTTTACTCAATAATGGTAGGAATAAAATCCATGAGACGGCTGAGTTCACAGTCATCTTTTTGGGACTCATGCAGCCTATTAAACGCTTACTCTGTTCCATTTTCAAGTTCATATTAACAGGAAATGATAACTTTCAAACCTCTTATCCCTAGATTAATTGACTATAATGAATCTCTGGTCGTTACTCTTAACCTGCATTAAAAAATACTAGAGTGATTTGCAAATTAGCAGCATAACCAGTTAAACCACCAACAGAAGAAATGAAAGAATAAAAAAGGATAACAGGCGCCTTAACTTAATACAAGGTTGTCAAACAGATTTTAAGTAGCAGGAGATTAAGAGAAAGTAGCCGGCATGTGTTTCCCGGCAGGGCCGGTAGGGGGAAGACATACCCGGTGGGGGCACTGCCATATATGGGCTATATAGGTATGTGCCGCTGTAAAGGGTATGGTTTTCAAGCAGTTTACTCTAGGATAGGGTATATAACTCAGAGCGTTTGGGTCTAGAATAGGGTATCATTTTTCAGGAAATTGATCAGTTGGTTGAAGATTTTACCTAGACTAGGGAAACAGCTACTCTAGGATAGGGAGGATGTGGGGAGTTTAGTCTAGTATAGGGTAGCAAAATTCAGCTCAACTAGCTCTGGTATAGGTTAAGGGTTCCAGGGTCCCAGCGGCACATCCCCACCCAGAAATTCCTAAAGTACCCCCCCGGGGAAGACATATCACTATTGATATAAACAGTTCAATCCAGGTTAGTAGCAGCTGTCAAACATGATAGCATTGATACTGCGACTAAATTACTAAGGGAAACTTTGGTGGAAGCATGCAATGAAAAATGCACCGCACAGTTGATAGCATCTTCACATTAAAAGCGCTTATTGACAAGTACGTGAAATCTAAGTCACAAAAGCACCAAAATTTACTCTTTTCATGCTTCGTCGACTTTAGAAAAGCCTCTGACTGTATACCCCAACAGAAACTATTTGACAAACTGAGAAAAGAAGGTGTCCAAGGACATTTCCTGAATGTTTTAATATCAATCTACTCAAATGACAAATCAACAGTTACCATTGAGAACAAATTTCGCCAATCCTTTACTTGTAAAGGAAAGGTTGCATGTTCTCACCTACTCTTTTTAACTTCTAAAGTTAGGACAACACATATAACTATGGATATGTCTTTCACAGATAGGGGAACACATAAAACCAGGAATATGTCTTTCCCAGGTTGCGGAAAAAATATCACTAGCGATATCTGTTTCCCGAGAACAGGAATACATAACACTATGGATATGTGTTTCCCAGGTGGGGGAACACATATCACTAATGGGTATGAGTTTTCCAGGTAGGGGAACACATATCACTAGGGATATCTCTATCCTAGGTAGGGGAACACATATTACTGATGGGTATCTGTTTTCCAGGTAGGGGAACACATATCACTTGGGATATGTGTTTCCCAGGTGGGGGAACACATATCACTAGGGATATGTGTTTCCCAGGTGGGGGAACACATATCACTAGGGATATGTGTTTCCCAAGTGGGGGAACACATATCACTAGGGATATGTGTTTCCCAGGTGGGGGAACACATATCACTAGGGATATGTGTTTTCCAGGTGGGGGAACACATATCACTAGGGATATGTGTTTCCCAAGTGGTGGAACACATATCACTGGGGATATGTGTTTTCCAGTTAGGGGAATACATATCACTAGGGATATGTGTTTCCTAGGTGGGAGAACACATATCACTAATGGGTATGAGTTTTCCAGGTAGGGGAACACATATCACTAGGGATATGTCTTTCCCAAGTGGGGGAACACATATCACTAAAGATATGTGTTTTCCAGGTGGGGGAAGGCATATTACTAGGGATATCTGTATCCTAGGTGGGGGAACACATATCACTGATGGGTATCTGTTTTCCAGGTAGGGGAACACATATCACTAGGGATATGTGTTTCCCAGGTGGGGGTATGGGTATGTGTTTTCCAGGTGGGGGAACACATATCACTAGGGATATGTGTTTACCTATCTGGGACCTTCGGCTAATTCGTATCCACTCAGATGACGGAAAGTATTTCTATGTATACCTGGGAATGCTAATGAATTTGTTATTACGGTTATTTTTGTTGGGTCACCATGGGTCCCCTGAACTTCCTTGGGAGATAGCCTCCTTCTGTTTTTGAGTTTTGAAAAATCTGTTGATTACTTACATACACTTATGACTTTACTTGTAATAACTGTGGTGCATTCTGTGCGATTGTTTTAGCACCATCCTCCCTTAGAATAGAGCCAGTTGGTAGATGGTTTGAAGCAAGCCTTCAGCGACGTCAGCATGGTCTTTCGTCTCATCATTCAAGTTCCAGTTCAAGTTCAAGTGCAAGTTCTGAAGTAAATCTCTCATCTGATGAAGAGGATCCTAACTTTTTACTTACTCTTGATCCGTCAGAATGGAAGGTAGAGTTTATGTATTCTATATAACTATTATTATGTAGCAGTCAATTCCAAAACCAACCACTCCTTCCCCTCTCCCGGTGCATACCCTAGCCATTTGACCGCCGTTTTGCCCATACAGTGGGGAATTTGACCCAAAATGAGGCCTGCCCAGACGGTCATTTGACCCCTTTCGTGTCAAAATGCTGGTCAGCGTCGCAAGCAAAAGGATTTTGTAATTCTTACTGCATTCAGTATGAGCATGGTGTTTACAGCTCTTTGCTCCTATATTCACTGTTTTGTTGGAGCTTTGAGAACCTTTGAAAAAGCCTGTAAAGGGGGGCTTTCTGGAATGTACAATTTTGTGTAAATGAAAAAACCTCCATAAGACAGTTTTCTGAGACTTTGAGATATTTCGGATGTGTATAACAATGTTTATATTTGAATAAAAGATTTGATGCATTGGGAAATTTTGGAACAGTTGCTGGTGGGTGGGGGATTTGATGCTTTTTGAAGTGCTAGCCAGTGGGCATTTGACCATCTAAACAGCCAACACACTGGGCAATTTCACCAAAATTTTTCAAAAACTTCAAATGCCCAGGGGGAAGAAGGAGGGGGCATGGGCGGTTTTGGGATTGACCGGTTCATTACCTTAACAAACAAGACTGTCACAGAGCTGTTACGTATAACTTAAAGATACTTTTTTCTGTTTGTTACAATAATACATTCATTTTGTGTAAAAGGAGGAAATTTGGTTCTTGCTCTTTCCACGTTTTTAAGAAACTTTGCAATTTTACGGTGTTAAAAATCTGGCCAGGTTTTGTCATACTGTTTAAAATTAATATTGGTTGTCAAATATTGGAATTGTTAAACAATGTTGTGCTATTTTCTAACTGCAAACACTGAACCACGACACATATTTTAACAATAAATTTCTAAAAATTAAAATTTGCATCGTCATGGTTAGGTGATGATTGTGTTTTTTTTTGTTCTGAGATTTAGTGTTAACATGTTTATGACATGTTCATGAGGCCTTATGTGCCACAAGGCACAAAGAAGATAGGTGAACGTGAATGTTTATGACATTCATTTTGCAGCAACAAGATCATTACAAGGTCCTTGGACTTGAGAAACTTAGACACAAAGCCACATTAGGAGACATCAAGAAAGCATGTAAGTTTGTCATATTAGGCAGCAACAGTTTTAATCAAATTTTTATGTCTCATACACATGTGGTTATGCAAGGCTCTTTCCCAAGGAGCCTTGTGTGATTACACAAATGCATGAATTGATGAATTTTAACTGTGCGATTACACTCAGGATGTGGTGGTGTAAGAAAGAAATTTTTCAGTTGAATAGAACATTGAATTTTTTTGTCATTAGAAGTTTTGTTCCCGGAGTTCACACCAGCTTTTTTCTATGCACCTTCATTCCTTTTTCAAGTTAAGTTAAACTCTATTAGCAAATTGGCCTCCTCCCATAGCTCAGTTGGTAGATCACTGCAGCACTAAATCAGAAACCATGGGTTCAAATCCTGTTGAAGTTCTGAATTTTTCGTTTTTGGGGGGGAGGGGGTTAATTTTCAATATTGCTGAAATAACGCTTACAGCTATGATGTTCATATCTTCGATTTCATTTATCTTCATGGCAGTGAAATATTTGATTTCTCGGACCTTGCTGCTTCGAACAAAGTCTTGAGTTAGGCTTTCCTTTCTCTAACAATGATATAAAAGTCTGTAAATTATGTTACTTTTTTAGTTAAAAAGAAAGTCCTGAAACATCACCCAGACAAGAAGACATCAAATCCAGATGCCAGTGACTCAAAGATTTCTGAACAGAGCCTCTTTGCGTGTATAACCATTGCAAATGATATTTTAAGCAACAAATTTAAGAGAAGAGCATATGACAGTGTTGATCCTTACTTTGATGATTCAGTTCCTTCAGTTAATTCCAACTCCAAGAGTAATTTTATTGAAGTATTTGGTCCGGTCTTTGAAAGAAATTCAAGGTAAGATTACTCTGTCAAGGTAAGATCACTCACGACAATTCCTCCATAAAAATAATGTGTAACTAGGACGTTTGACGTTTTAGTCGTACAAAACAGCGTTGTAGTCGTGCAAAACAACGGCAAGGGAAAGACAGAAAAGCGTGCTGCTCGTGCAAATTTGGTTTTTGCTAATTAGAAGAAAAAGTGTACTGCACGTGCAATTTGGTTTTTTGCTAATTAGATCTATCAGACTTGAAGCCATTTTCATTGTCGTCCCCGTTTAGCATTACACGATTTAATTTTTTTTGTTTACACGTAGTATTGACCAGAGCTTCGCTTTTAGCTCAGGGAATCTATGTATTACTGAAGTTTATTATCTAACAACTCTGTTATTTTTAGAGCTCAAGTTGAGCTTACTGTTGCCCACAGATGAATTTTAAGATTCCCTCTTAGATTCTACAAATTGCAGTCTGTGAAATTTTGTTTTACTGTAGGTGGTCGAATCTTCAACCAGTGCCATCGTTAGGAGATAATAATTCTACTTTTGAAGAAGTTGATAATTTTTACAGTTTTTGGTAAGCTTCTTTTCTTGTGTGCACTTTTAACTAGTTGGTTAATACACGATTTTTGCTGATATCCAGTGTAATTGTTTCTTCTCGACAGGCTTTCTTTGTACAGTACAATTTGGTATCAAATTTACTTTTGGAGCGCAAAGTTTTTTGTATTGCAATTGTAAAGAAAAGGTCGTTTAAGAAGGGGCTGAATTTTCGCTGTTTCTTTCTCGCGGAAGTTTATTCTTGGGAATCTTTCGAAAATCCGCGAAATTCACAAGAACCAGATCCCGCAGTATTGCTCGTTTGCACGTGACGACACGGCGGCCATGTTGGTGGTCAAGAACAAAAGCATTTCTCTCCTTTGGGAACTAAACTCCATTTTCATGTAAATTTTTGGAGCAAAATTTCTAGTGTGTTAACCCCCAACATGGCCGCCTTGTCACGTGGTTGCAAGTCAAGAATTCATTGTAACGCTTCTCTGTTATTTTGTTGTAGGTATAATTTCGATTCTTGGAGAGAATTTTCTTATCTTGACGAAGAGGAAAAAGAAAAAGGCGAAAAGTAAGTATACTCACGATTAATTTTTTGATTTTTGATCTTAAACTTGCACCTTTTAACCTTTTTTTTGTTACTTTATCACAGCCGTGACGAAAGGAGATGGATTGAAAAACAAAACAAAGTCATGCGACAAAAGAAGAAAAAAGAAGAAGTTACTCGCATTAGGAATTTAGTTGGTATGTTTCTCTCAGTCATGGCTTGCAAGCAAGCCCTCCAATTTATAGCGAGCGACGCGAGCAGCGAATGAACGCGCAAACGAGCGGTGATAGCCTTCGTGGCGCGAATGCTAAGTGACGAGGGCGCGAGGGGCGGAGGAAAACGATCCCACTCGCGTCTTGTTTCGCTTTCGGCTCTCGCGTGACCTCTCGCGACGACTCCCCCAAATTTAGAGCTTGCTCGTAGGCTATCTCAGAGTAGTTTTTACGTCGTTACTGATTTTTTATGTACATACCGTTGGTTGTAGATAATGNGAAAGGAGATGGATTGAAAAACAAAACAAAGTCATGCGACAAAAGAAGAAAAAAGAAGAAGTTACTCGCATTAGGAATTTAGTTGGTATGTTTCTCTCAGTCATGGCTTGCAAGCAAGCCCTCCAATTTATAGCGAGCGACGCGAGCAGCGAATGAACGCGCAAACGAGCGGTGATAGCCTTCGTGGCGCGAATGCTAAGTGACGAGGGCGCGAGGGGCGGAGGAAAACGATCCCACTCGCGTCTTGTTTCGCTTTCGGCTCTCGCGTGACCTCTCGCGACGACTCCCCCAAATTTAGAGCTTGCTCGTAGGCTATCTCAGAGTAGTTTTTACGTCGTTACTGATTTTTTATGTACATACCGTTGGTTGTAGATAATGCTTATACTTGCGATCCAAGAATAAAAAAGTTCAAAGAAGACGAGAAGGAAAGAAAACTTGCAGAAAAGAAAGCCAAAGAAGATGCGGCGCGGGCAGCTGCAGAAGAAAAAGAACGAGTGAGTATTGACATACTATCTATCTGAGTGTCCAGCTTTTAATTATTTGCTCTCTATGAGAGAATTTTAGGCTCATTTAGTTCGGTTAATTTTACCAGAGATCCTCGTTACGTCGGATTCCGAAATATCTTCAAAATAAGACTCTTCATTTGGGAAATTAGCGCATTTCGTACCTTGTGGCCTTGTCTATAGCCACATCCGCTAAGCTTTCTTCTGAAGTACCTTTGCAGTAGTTTCTTGGTGTTGCAGATGGGTGCAATCACCTAATGACGTAATACAAAAGATTGAAAATACAGTAGAACCTCGATAACTCGAACTCAGATAACTCTAATTCCCCGCAATTTCCTTTGCCTTGATCAAAATTTCACTGAAAGTTACCCTGATAACTCGAATTCCTCTCTAACTCGAACTGTTTTTCGTTTCCCTTCAGAGTTCGAGTTACCGGGGTTCTACTTATACTGTACACCAACAATACCCACACCACAACACAAAAGTGAACAAATGGTTTTCTCGACACCAAGAAACACATATTTTTGAAGAGGCACGAGAGAGGCACCTTTAATATGCCTCGGACAGGGATAATCCGGCACAAGTGACCTCCTTTCATTGACATTTATCCGCACCAAGTCCCATTCATATTGTATTGTAATCGCTGCATCTCCTGACTAGCTCTGCTGGTGGCCAGCGGCGGGAGATTTCAGCAGGGCGCCCGTCTTGCGCGCGCTCAAGAAGCTAAACAAGCGAACTTTCTTGCAGGCTGCTTGATAAAATTTAACGGCTACGCTATTACTCTTTCACTCCTAGCAAAGACTTGAAGCTCTTGAAAAAGAAAGAAAACTTAAAGAACAAGAAGAACAAGAAGCTAGAGAAAAGGTGAAGAAACTACTAAACTGATTTTCATCGTATCTTTCAACACAAGGGCCTTTAAAACCGTTGCCTGAACCCCGACTTAGTTTAAACGGTTTTAATCGTTATTTCTCCGTACTTTAAGCGAGTGTAAATTTCTCTTTCCAGAACTGAAGTTCCGTTCACACCAAGGCGTCGATAATGTTTGTCTATACCATAGCTGATTTGAAAATATCCAGGATAAAAATAAATATTTGAGACAGACATTATTGAGGCATCTCCGCTCGGTTTTTCAGGTGAAAATGGAAAAAATAAAAACCAAGTGATTAAGTAATATCGTCGCTTTTGTATCACAATGCAGTTACTTGTGATGTTGATTGCTACTTTTCGACTAGTTGCCTGTCATCTTGTTGTTTAGATAAAGCAGGCTAGAAACGATATCCAAACGTCCGCTCATGTTTAGATTTTTAAACGAACTTTATTAGGGATCACAATTGTTTATGTTTTTTAAATTGTTTTATAGGCGCAAGCAGCCAAAGTAGAAAAAACAAAACTGAAGAACATAATGAAAAAAGAACGAAAAACCATACGGACAGTAATAAAGGTGTGTTACTTGCTTTCCCTTTGTTATGTGTACTAGTTGCGCTTGATGGTCCGTTACTGTAGAAACAGATGGAGTGGTAACATTCTTCAGGAAAGGACTCTTAGTCAAGACAAATTCAGGGATAGTGTGAAAAACTGAAAGGCTAGGATTGATTTTGTACATAGGGGCAGTTGTTCCAATAAAATATACAGCATTTACAGCATTCCGCATACAGTATTAGGCCATTTCAAAGGCCAAGAACGGCCATTTAGAGTCATTTAAGCCAAATCACTCTTGGGTGGAGCTAAACTGCTTATTTTTAACTTCCTTTTGACAGAATTATGATTATTTTGTCGAAGACGAAGAGACACGAATTCGTGAAATGGAGGTGATGGACCGGCTACTCGAAGTAATTTCTCTTGAAAAGTAAGAACCTCTTTTTTCTGTAAATAAGTCGTAAGTTTCAAAATTATGCTGTTGGCCACGTGGAATTTCTGGAGTCAGTATCCAGACAAGGGAGAATTTCAGTGTTGATTGTAGGGATATATGGGTTAAGGTACAAGTATTATACAGCGTAATGAGTATTTTCTTTGTATGATCCAGTTTACAGACGTTCAGAGAAGGTCTTGAAGCGGCTGGATCGAAAGAGGAAGTTAAAGTAATTTACGAAAAAGAGGTAGGGAACAACGTTGCCATAACTTGTCATTAACAGGTTTTGTATCGTAAATTCTAACCAATTTGAATGTATGTTTTGAACAGTATATTATTTCTGACTTACCCAAAGCCTTCGCTTCCGTATGTTGAACAATACTGAATAAGGCTGAGTATACGCGTCTTGCACGCTAGACGCGTGGCCCTGTGTAGCAAGCTTTTCGAGTCTATCACGTCATGCCCGGATCACAAACATGTGCCCGTCTTACCTCCTAAGAGAGAACACAGACATAATCTAAGACAGTCCAGGGCTTATGCCATGCCCCGCACACATACAAATCGTTTTAAGAACACTTTTATTCCAAGTATGTGTACATAATTTTTTGGACTAGTTTGTACCTAGTTATATATAGAGAGTTTTTCGCATTTTTATAGAAATGTTTTTTGTTATAATTTCAATTAGTATTTCTATTTTTGGAATTTATTTAATCTTAGTTTTAAGTAATTGTAACGCAATTCAGTCTACGGACTGCCATGTTCGATATTTTAATAAACTATCTATCTATCTATCTATCTATCTATCTATCTATCTATCTATCTATCTATCTGTCTGTCTGTCTGTCTGTCTGTCTGTCTGTCTGTCTGTCTGTCTGTCTGTCTGTCTGTCTATCTATCTATCTATCTATCTATCTTATGAAGAATTATGGAGATCGAGGAGGGTGTTATCCGTCGAGGCCGTAAATATTCTCCAAATAGCAGATGTTACCCTTCGAGTTGTCTTCTTGCTGTTCTTGCCATGTTTTTAGCTATTATTTTGCCTAGTTCTTACTCTTGAAACAAGTGAAATGTCTGCCATTTTTTTGTTTCCTCAACCAAAACAACTCAACCTCGTCCCCAGGTCTTCTCGGTTAACGGTGCATTAACCTGCAAAAACGCTGCATTTTTGACGTCATTTCCTCGTTAAACACAAAATTGTTCCAAATTTGGTCATCAGCAACTGGTTATGGTGAATTATGCGTGTGCTTTTAGCCAACCAGAATCGGATATATTTGGAATGAATAATAATTGCTTTTTAGATGGAACAGATGAGAGAAAGAATGAGACAAGAGGCCATAGCCGCGACAAAACAAACAACAAAGACTAAAGAAGAAGGAGAAGAAGTGACTGATGACTGGACTGAAGAGCAAACGCAGCTTCTTATTAAAGCTGTTAACCTCTTTCCTGCTGGAACTGCCTCCAGGTAAACCTCGACGTGATGTAATTTCTTAGAGTTCCGGAACGTATTTGTGCGGCTCAGTTTTCGATTTCCCGGATCTTGAAATAACTGAGGAGCAAGGTATCAGTGTGACCCGGAGGAGGACCACGGAGAAATGTTGGTCTTGTGCAAGTACTATTGAAGAGGTTTCGTTTTAATGGTCACACGATAGGATTTCATCCACAGACTCAAAAATAAGAACTACGAACTAAATAAATAGTATCATGTGAAAGTACTACCGAAGAGGTTTCATTTAAATAGTAACTCCATAGGATTTCATCCACAGTCTCAAAAGTGAGAACTACATACTAAATAAATAGTACCTTGTGGAAGTATTGCTGAAGAGGTTTCATTTGAATGGTAACACCACAGGATTTCATCCACAGACTCAAAAATTAGAGCTACATACTACATAAATAACACCATGTGAAAGTACTGCTGAAAAGATTTTATTTATAGAGGATACACCATAGGAGCTCATCCACAGACGCAAGAGTTAGAACTACATACTAAATAAATAGCACCATGTATAATACTGCTGCTGAGGTTTTACTTGGTAACACTATAAAATTTTATCCACAGATTCAAAAAGTTGGAACTGCGTTCATTTATGTCTTCAAGACTGACGCTGAAAGTTTAAGGGTTAATGGGCTATGTTTTGGTTTTGTTTTTAGATGGAAGGTGATTGCTGATTACGTCAATATGCATTCAAAGACTGGCACCGAACGAGACTCGAAGCACGTCATAAAAAAAGTCAAGAACTTGAAGAAACTAGGTTTGTGCCATGCATGTTTTACTCTGTTTCCATGTAAGCTGTCAGGTTTCAACTTGTTTCCAGCCAGGCTTCTCTCTTACTCGTCCCTACGGAGTGACGAATAAGAGAGAACCCTAGGAACCAGGTTGGGCAGGTGCATGCATCTGTGTGCCGCGCAACAGTAAACAGGAAACTTGTGTTAAAGGCGAAAGTAATCCGAACAAACAAACAAACGAATCCGATCATGTAGGCGGTAGTAAGGACCAGCGGGCATCTACATAAGTGCGTGCGCTTAAAACACTGCAAAAACAGCCAACAAGTGTAAGATAATATCGTGTATACGCAAATAAGTACGTGTTTTTCTCTGATGGTCAAAGTAAGCCATGATCCCTTTGAGTTGATTGAGAGATCATTTTGTACAATTTGCGACTCATAACATTTAGTTCAACTTTGAGATGTGATCAGATTTCTAATGACGAAATTTTATTATCAACAGATCCGTCTCAAAAACAGGAGGTCAACCGAAAAGCTTTTGCGAAGTTCGATAAAGATCACAGCGGGAGCAGAACAGCAACAGCCGCGGCAGAATCTGATCCAACTGTTAGATATAATGGTAAGGTCACGTTATCCACTTGTCAGAAGTACATGAAAGGATCCTGTACTTTGGGATTCAAACGATCGTTTTATCATTCAAAGTTAAAGCTCAACGTTAATTTTTCATGGACTGTCTCGAGTCTTTTCAAATCTATTGCGCGAGAGCGAGGCGAAGACGGTGGATATGATTATGTGAACCCTGGCTCGTATACAGCTATTTCGAGAAAGGTTGTCGGAAAAAGTGCACGCGACAATCCCGAAAGGTATTGTGAATGGTTTTGAGTTCACTGTTTTTCAAAGAAATTTTGAGAAGAATGGCACGAGAGGCCATGGACGTATGTTTGCGATAGCTAAAGGAAAGCAACAAAAGTAGGTTCGAAAGCTACAGTGTCAGGAACAGTGAATTGATCGTATCCCATATTACCTTTCGGGATTGTCGCGAGCACATTTTTTCCGACAACCTTCCTCGAAATAGCTTTATGTAGGTTGCGTATGTTGCCTCCTGGCTTTCCCCACCCACCCTCCCCCACTAAATACATCGTTTATTTGAGAAGGGATGTGTAGAGAGTCTAAAACCTTCATATCAATCGTGGATGTGAAGAGTAAGTTTTTGCATGAATCTAGTTTGAAATTTTATCGTATTTAAAAACTGTTTTTTGTCTTCCTTAGGAAGCAATGCTGCGGAAGGTACCCAACAGACAACTGATAGACCTTGGACTTCAGAGGAACAAAAGGTAAGAAATGACTGTGTCAGTTTGAGTTTAGATGAGTGACACATAATTCTCTTCAGTCTAACATTTTCACTTTCTTTTTCCACATTTAGCTTTTAGAGAATGCCTTACGATCATATCCTACCAATACAGCCGAGAGATGGGAGCGGATCGCTGAATCTGTACCGGGAAGAACGAAAAAAGAATGCATGAAAAGATACAAGGTTAGTCAAGGCTTTAGTGAGGTTTTCGATTTATTTTGAAAGCAATTTAATTCAATTTTGAATTACTGAAGTTATTTTGCATTCCAAATTGGACCAGAAATAGGTAAACAAACTTGCCTTTTATGCATCTTACGTTTCTGCGCGCGTTATTCATTCTTTTTGGTCATTTATTTGTAGGAGTTAGTTGAGATGGTGAAAGCCAAGAAAGCTGCACAAAGCAAGGGAAAAGTCGCCTGACAAACACAAAAGAAAACTCTTCTTTCGTGCCTCNAATAATGCTGTAAAAAGCAAGGGAAAAATGGCATGAAAAAAAAAAAAGAAAACTCTTCATTCAGACACCCATAATCATGGACACGCCCACCCCAAAACATAAATTATCCATTTGCCTTTCTTGTTTTTTACCCCTAGTGTTCTCATTTTATAAATTTTTTGTCAAAGAGCTCTGAGTGTGTTTTTTTTTTTTTTTTTTGTAAATAAAAAGTGAATAATTCTCTAAAACTGTTCGACTTTCCTGAGACGTTTGCTTGAACTTTCTGGTTGGGAAAATTTGCATCATGCTAATCTGGGAAAGCTTTAGGGAAGCTGAAGCGACAGGATTTTTGTTTGCTGAATGTGATTTGTAAGTTCTCGTAAAAACTGGAGACTGGCTAAATATATATAGTTGTATTTTGTCCAAAACCGCCCTTTGGAGAAAATCTGCGTTACGCCGCGAGTCTACTTCCGTGTTAAGTTGTCTTCATCACTGGAATCACATTAGAGCATGGCAGTTGATCTGAATTTGTTGATGTTACTCAAAAATCTTCTGAAAGACACGGTACAATTTCACAAAACCATTGCGAATCGCGGCGACAATTAAGCCATTTAATGTGGCTATTTTAACCTAATTCCCCCTTCATATATTTTAGCCAACATGCCTATTATAATGTCAAAACAAATTGGGGAAGACAACGGGATATATTTGCCTTATATTTTGGAAATATATACTTCATTGTTCTTCATTGTACGTTCTCCCTCATTGTTCCAGCATTTTGCCTGATAATCGAACTCATGTCACTAATTTATTCAACTATTACTCACGCAACACCACACTTCTGTGAAAATTTCCAAGTGATAATGATGAGTATTATCATTAGTAAGAAAAAAAAGACTAATTACCCATTCATATCAGCATATCAGTTACATTTTTAGCCACAGCAAAAGCTTGCATTATTAGGCTAAACTTTTGTGCAAATCAATGTTTAATTATTGAGGTTGATCATTTAAATACCAAACAGATTTTTCACAAAGAACCCTTCTTTATTGCTGACAAAGAGTTCCACAAATCGTAGATTGGAAGGACTAAGTCGGCTGAGTTATAATCATATTTGACAAAGTTAGTCCGTTCACCTCAGTGCTGCATCTGCCAGGTGGCTTTCCTGTTGAAGTAAGAAGTCATAAATTAAATGTGAAAAAAGTAAATGTAGTTTAATTCTTAAACTACGAAACACCTACATTGTGTAAATGCTCTGAGGGCTAACCCACGCAGCACAACTGGTGAGTTTGCAGTATTTTATCTATTCTAGACTGTCAGTTTTGTAATGAACGATTTTTCTGCATAATTTATTTATGATCATATGTCTGGGTTAAAAGTGTGTTCGGAAATTGAACGATTGCAATATAATTTTGCAAAGTCATGAAAGGAAATTTACAAAATTTTCCTTGGACGAATACCTTGGGGTCTTCCTGTTCCTTGACTTATACTTTTTGAGTCACGTGACCAAACATGAAATAGCATTAAGTTAAGAGTCTGGGGACGTTGAATAAGGAGCAAGCTCCTTCTTACCTGCTGGTTACAGGCAAGTACATGGCAAGTTTTACTACAAATATGAGCAACTTCTACATCTCCACAGTTCCCCTTCTCCATTTCATCCTCACACGTGACCAGATTCTCCGCATCGTAACATTCATCTGCCGGAGTTTAGTATAGAAAGCAAAAGGAATCAATTCCACAGAAAATTCGCCAAATCTTGTAAGATATAAAAAGATGATTGAAAAGGCTCTACATAATATCATAGGTGGATCTCTTGTTGAAGAAGCCAAAGGTGCCATCAGCTTCGCAGACAAGAGGTCTGGGTACGAGATTGGGCTCTTCAATAGCGAAAAACTGGACCTTCCTCCAAGACAAACAATGTACTGTTGAAGGTTCGGGAGCATTTCTTTTTATTTCTTTGTTTTTCTGGCCCCAGCCGTTAAAAAAAGCTGGATAAAGCTATCCACGGGATAAATCACTATCCAATGCTTAGCATTAAGAAAACCACTTGCACTCTCAACTGGATAGAGATTTTTGCGGCCAGATTATCCACTTCTCCTACGAGTCCCGTATGTAACCTAGTATATCCTTTAGAATAGCACTCTTAGAGTCTTTAATCTGATTCTGAAAGGGTATTCGCAGGATCCGGGCTGGATTTTGAACCTAAATATTTTGCGGGATTCGGGAAAACTTTATTGGGAAAGAAAACGGTATTCAGGATAGATATTTCAGAAGTTCCGGACGAGGGATTGTCATAGAAGGGAGCGCGAATACGGGATCAGGACCTTCCCCCCCCCCCCAACCCCCTCTCCTCCCAAACCCCGCAAATGTTTTAAAAACATCCCAAACCCTCACCAATACTTAGGCAATGTCACTATCCCAGGACTTTGCTATCGCTTGCCTACCTTCTTTACTCCCATGTTTTGGTTTTGTTTTTAGATGGAAGGTGATTGCTGATTACGTCAATATGCATTCAAAGACTGGCACCGAACGAGACTCGAAGCACGTCATAAAAAAAGTCAAGAACTTGAAGAAACTAGGTTTGTGCCATGCATGTTTTACTCTGTTTCCATGTAAGCTGTCAGGTTTCAACTTGTTTCCAGCCAGGCTTCTCTCTTACTCGTCCCTACGGAGTGACGAATAAGAGAGAACCCTAGGAACCAGGTTGGGCAGGTGCATGCATCTGTGTGCCGCGCAACAGTAAACAGGAAACTTGTGTTAAAGGCGAAAGTAATCCGAACAAACAAACAAACGAATCCGATCATGTAGGCGGTAGTAAGGACCAGCGGGCATCTACATAAGTGCGTGCGCTTAAAACACTGCAAAAACAGCCAACAAGTGTAAGATAATATCGTGTATACGCAAATAAGTACGTGTTTTTCTCTGATGGTCAAAGTAAGCCATGATCCCTTTGAGTTGATTGAGAGATCATTTTGTACAATTTGCGACTCATAACATTTAGTTCAACTTTGAGATGTGATCAGATTTCTAATGACGAAATTTTATTATCAACAGATCCGTCTCAAAAACAGGAGGTCAACCGAAAAGCTTTTGCGAAGTTCGATAAAGATCACAGCGGGAGCAGAACAGCAACAGCCGCGGCAGAATCTGATCCAACTGTTAGATATAATGGTAAGGTCACGTTATCCACTTGTCAGAAGTACATGAAAGGATCCTGTACTTTGGGATTCAAACGATCGTTTTATCATTCAAAGTTAAAGCTCAACGTTAATTTTTCATGGACTGTCTCGAGTCTTTTCAAATCTATTGCGCGAGAGCGAGGCGAAGACGGTGGATATGATTATGTGAACCCTGGCTCGTATACAGCTATTTCGAGAAAGGTTGTCGGAAAAAGTGCACGCGACAATCCCGAAAGGTATTGTGAATGGTTTTGAGTTCACTGTTTTTCAAAGAAATTTTGAGAAGAATGGCACGAGAGGCCATGGACGTATGTTTGCGATAGCTAAAGGAAAGCAACAAAAGTAGGTTCGAAAGCTACAGTGTCAGGAACAGTGAATTGATCGTATCCCATATTACCTTTCGGGATTGTCGCGAGCACATTTTTTCCGACAACCTTCCTCGAAATAGCTTTATGTAGGTTGCGTATGTTGCCTCCTGGCTTTCCCCACCCACCCTCCCCCACTAAATACATCGTTTATTTGAGAAGGGATGTGTAGAGAGTCTAAAACCTTCATATCAATCGTGGATGTGAAGAGTAAGTTTTTGCATGAATCTAGTTTGAAATTTTATCGTATTTAAAAACTGTTTTTTGTCTTCCTTAGGAAGCAATGCTGCGGAAGGTACCCAACAGACAACTGATAGACCTTGGACTTCAGAGGAACAAAAGGTAAGAAATGACTGTGTCAGTTTGAGTTTAGATGAGTGACACATAATTCTCTTCAGTCTAACATTTTCACTTTCTTTTTCCACATTTAGCTTTTAGAGAATGCCTTACGATCATATCCTACCAATACAGCCGAGAGATGGGAGCGGATCGCTGAATCTGTACCGGGAAGAACGAAAAAAGAATGCATGAAAAGATACAAGGTTAGTCAAGGCTTTAGTGAGGTTTTCGATTTATTTTGAAAGCAATTTAATTCAATTTTGAATTACTGAAGTTATTTTGCATTCCAAATTGGACCAGAAATAGGTAAACAAACTTGCCTTTTATGCATCTTACGTTTCTGCGCGCGTTATTCATTCTTTTTGGTCATTTATTTGTAGGAGTTAGTTGAGATGGTGAAAGCCAAGAAAGCTGCACAAAGCAAGGGAAAAGTCGCCTGACAAACACAAAAGAAAACTCTTCTTTCGTGCCTCCTTTATCTTGGACACGCCGCCCTCGATGCTTAAATTATCCATGTGCCTTACTGGTATTTGACAGCAAGTGTTCTCATTTTATAAAGTTTGCTGCAACGAGCACTGAGTGCGGTTTTTTTTTTTTTTTTTTTTAAATAAAAAGGGAAAAATTCTTTTAAAACGTTCTGCTTTCCTGTGAGTTTTTTTTTAAATTTTTGGTTTGGGAAATTTTCTTTTTGTGTTTCTTGGTAAGTCTTTGG